TCAAAACATACAGGGATATAATGTCTTTTTTCTTCTTTGGTGTAAAATAAATGAAAATTAGCTTTGAAATAACTTAAACTAATACCAGATAATGGCAGATGAATGAAGAAGGACAGCAGCTAAGACTACACTATTTCAACTACTGCTACAACTTCTTCATCTAATTTAAAAGGACATACCAGCCAATGTCAAAATATAGTGAGGAAGAGAGAAGATGAGGAAAAACAGTGATGTGCATGTAACCACAAAACCACTACAAAGTACAATAACAAAACCATTTAATACCAGAGCGACTATGAATATTGAAGGAGTATTTATCAAAGAAAGGAAAGAGTTGAATAAGGAATGGAGGATAATTTTAAACCTTTATCTACAAACACCACAAAATACCACTAATACCACCCCACTTATACCACCACTACTACTGCTTCATCAATGGTTATACGACTACAGAAGTAAGTGGTGAGAACCAAACCAAAAGTATCATCATTACATTAAGTTTCAGTGCAGCTTATATTTTAAGCTACAAAAATAATTGAATTCTTAAGCAGCTTAACGCCATTATAATGCTTAGATTGGAAAATAAACAAAAAATGGGAAACGTTGAAAAAAATAATCACCATCAACGAAATCACAAGATTTTCACAAAGCAGCACTACAATAAACATGGCAAAGGCAATCAGTTTGAAATGTACTTCTAGATGGATACACAACATATATAGAGATATTTGCCAATACAACTGCAGCATAATACAATTGTCAAATAGTTTAAGCTGACCTCCACTACAGACCAAAACCAATAACGTTCATCACCTCTTCTCCCTCTATATTATAAAGAATATATTTAAATCCTGTTATTCTGTAGAGTAGAAAAATATTATTTTTGTATGTGTCGGTTTGGTAAAACTTAGTCAAACATTTTGAGCAACAACTGCATTTGCAACTGAATTGTTGAACTCGAATTTATATTTTTCAACTGCTCCCTTGTTGAAACTTAAGCCAGAAAGTATCATGAATTATATTCCATGTCATAAATTCTTGGAATTCAAAAATGAACTAAAATATGTATGTATACGATAATTTCGACGACGTTCATTTACTACAAGACCGGCATAAATAAAAAAATCAGTTGTTATAAAACATTACAGGTTGTAAATAACTTTCTTTTCTGAATTTCAATGAAAAATCTTATTAACGATTGAACTTTGGTGAACGCTGTTGTTCATCACTGTCTATAAATGTATAATTAGCAGGAAGCTTTTATTTAACTAACACAGGTGCGGATCCAGCTCATGTTTGGGGAATTTCTGAGTCAAAGAGGATCAGGTCTCCGAGGAGTTGTATGTAATGGTGTCTGCAAAGAAGCACAGGAAAACGAAAGGTGAAAAAGGAAAAGAGCCGCCATTTTACGCCAAAGTCTCCAAGAGAAGACTGCGGGATGATCTCTGCTATGCAGTTTACGACAGGCAAAATTCCTGAAAGCGAGGAGGTACCCACTGCATCTATAGTCAATTCAAATCCAAAGGTCGTGGTGGTGACCACTGTCACGCTAGAAGACAGTTTAATGGATGACCATGATTGAGGTTATCTAAATAAACCTCCATTGGATCGAGACGGCTACCAACGCTCTGATAAATAAGCATATGTGAAATGCTTTGGACAATTAGAAACAAGGTTTTAAGATTAAATCACATAAATTTGCAACTTACTGGGATCAGTATCGTAGTAATCTTGATGAATACAAGAAAATTGTTCCAAAGGCCACACGAGACTCCTGGACACTTTTCTATGAACAGGTAGGTAGCGTAAATGACGTATCGAAGATAAAAAATTCCTATCCAAAACTCATGTCCAACCGGAATCTGTGATCGATGACATGGGCAGGAGGTTGGAGGATATGGAGCCTACTAAACAATGAAGAAATAGCTATCTGAACACCTTTGGACAATTTTTGCTAAGACCAATGGGTGAAAAGTTAAACTCATTTGAATAAAACCCTGTATGACCAAAATGTCCAACTTTGATTCCCTCTAAGTCCGGTAGTTCTTGACCGATAGATTTTTTGAGTAGGGTCACTTGACACAAAATTGCCCATATGTATTTTCTAGTACTCAGTTCAAAAAATATGAATATTGTATTATGACAGTCTTGTAGTAAATGATCGATATGTACACACTACTTATATACCACCAACGTATACTAATAAATAACAGAAGCAGTTTAGTGCAAGAAAACAAACTCTGCAAATATAAAAATAGTGGAGCAAATAACAGAAAATACTGATTTAACGAAACAATTATAAACTCACGGCACAGAAGGCGAACTAAGGAAGACCAAATAAATTTTATAATTTTGATAAATTGAATTGGCCTGTGTATTCCCGTGCATGGATACATATAATCTAGTGTCTTATTTAATTAATTCTCAAATGCAATCTGTGTATGAAATCAATTATAACTAGAGTCCTCAAAAATATCCAGTTAGTTAAAAACATTTGTGTTTGGATTATAGGGCTTTGAAAATTGGCATAAAAAATTGGCAAACGGTTACAAAAGACAATAAATAAACTTAATTTAATTATGATTTTCTGCAGTAAAAATTTTAAAATTATGTTTTAAAATCTTTTGTTCACATTATTATATAGTTAGTAAGTTAGTTTGAAAGGAGGATGTATGTTTCATTAAATCCGAAGAGATTTACATAAGACCTCATCGCACCTTTTGTTTGCTCCTTTACCAGTGTCTCCGGTAGAAATTAAACAGACTTGAACACTAACTACTGACCTACCAGAGGTACACCACAGTAGTACTCACTATTTTACTGGAAAATTCCTCTTAGTTGGTCCCATTTTAAAAAATTAACCACAGAAATGGTAAAGGAAGCAGTCAATTTTCAGTAGAGTGTCGTATAGTCAAACATAAGGAGTGTGGGTTACAGTATGAGAGAATGACCATGTTAATGAATGAATACTTTGCCAATTAAAATAGATGGGTTGTAGCTGAAATATCATTTGTGAATAGAGAAGACAGTCGGTGGGTGTACCACCCACAACAATCATCTTTACATTCAACCTCTCATATTGTGCTTGCATGACTGCAGTTGTGCAACATTCAAATACTTCAAATTATTGAACAAATAAGCACTGAAGTTCAGTGTGTAGTTGTATGTCTACACGTGAGTGTGTTTGGAAGCTAAATGATAAAAAGCTAAAGACTTTTGACATGCAACACTTTGAATGTTGACGTTGTTTAGTTGATTTTCATTTCCATCTTCATGTTTTTGAACTCATGCTCTTTTATATTTTTTGTTTTGCTCGAGTATTTGCTCTTTTGCACAGTGTTGAATAAAGCTTTAAGTAAAACGATGATGAAGATGTTGATGATAATATACTAAGCTGACAAAAAATACCAGCACATTTATGTTTATGAGTCTGTTTTGTAGTTATCCTTAAACAAGTACCTACTACTTCTAAAGGTCCCTTTAACAAGCATCACCGAGTTGTTAATAATAATGTTTTTTCTCGTGTAGTTTTTTCATGCATATTATTTTTCTCTTCTATTTTGATAAAAGTACTTTAAACTTAAGACTTGGTAAGACACGTAGCCACTAAATACTTTCGTTTCCTTTCAAAGAAATATGAATGCTATATATTCCACACAAATATTAAGTGCAATCAGTATTGACTGCTGTGCAAGAGTGGTGTACTACTCGTGTACTTCGGTGTATGTGCCAGAATATATTGTGCTAATTGCTTTAAACTAAGCACATCATCTCAACCGAACAACGTCAACCAACGTCTATTGCTTTCAATATCATCCATCGTCAAGTGTCATTGAGTTTATTTATAAAAAAAAAACTTAAAAATAAAAATAAAGAAAAAGTATACGCTTTCTAAGAGCAATAATTTTGTGTAAGAGTATTTACACAAGGATAAACTCATGTGGCTGTTACAAGTCAAGTGCACTTGCTTTCTGTAGAGAAGTCATCATCTCCAGTTGCAACATGCAGGAAGGTGTGCCAATAAAATTTTATGACATTATGGCTGACAATTTCTGCTTAGTGAGGGTATAATAGAAAATATTTTTATTGCAAGTTTAATTTCGAAATGATGTCTATGGATCTTAAAAGTAACTGAGCAATAGTAGTATTTATTAGCAACTAAAAAATATATACATAATATGTTTGTAGTGTACGATAGATTTCTTAAATTTGCGAATTACTTACTTCCTGAATGTTGATTTTTTTCTAATTCCATTCATTAGAAATTTATTTAATATCTTCATTTAACTTACTTTATTTACATTCTTTCATATTCCTTATGAAAAATAAAACACATATAGTTTTTTTTGCATATTTTCAGTTTTGAAATATTTATATTTTATATTTTTACGAATATAACTTTTTACTTTATTTCTTTTTATATATAATATTTTAATAATGTACAATATATTTTATTTGTGTAATCTGAGATAAGTTTGGGTTTTATTTATAATAATCATAATCATAATTATGTTTTTATTCATAATTAAATAATACGACAGGTAAATTATTTTTGTATTAATGTTATTTACCTTCATCTGTATATTTTTCTTCTAATTGATTGATTATCTACAGGATATTTTACAAATTAATTATTTTAAAATTATAAAAGTATATTAAGCAGTTAAAGCAGTTATATAAAATTTAAATTTTATTTACAGCATCAAACGAAAGAGAAAAAACATTTACAGTTTGAGATATTTACATACTCCGTAAGAAGATTAACATTGGCAAGAGTGTTTTAGAGGGTTTATCCTTCTAATGTTAATATTGATTTATTTACATAAATTAAAAATGCTTAAATGTAAAAATTATAAAATAAATTATTGGTTTGGTCTTTATGTGAATTTTTTGTTGCTTGGTATGATACATTATGTTTACAGGGAATCTTTAGAAGATCCTTCATTCTTGGGAAATTTATTTGTTATTTATTTTATACAAAAATATATATATTTTTTTAATTTGTTTACTTTTAGGAAGTTTTTATTTTTTTTTTTAATAATTTATTAGTTTTTGTTTAAGAAATATGTTTCTATTTGGTTTCTGTTAGTCCCAATTTTGCTAAATTACCCAAAGTTGTGGCATCTCCGGGCTGCAGTCTCAGTGCTTCTTTATAACTTGCCGCCGCTTTACTTGTGTGACCCAGTAAATGTAAAATGGCGCCGAGATTAGTATGTGCGTGGGCATCACTAGGCCGTAGGTTTACAGCCTGGAAGTAGAGAAAACAAACGGAGTATTATTATTTTTTTTTATTTTTTTGCTTCTTAATGAAATTAACTTTTAGAAATTAGATGAACAAACTGATAAAAAAAACAGTTTTCCAATTCAACGAAATTCAATTGCAACTTATAAAAAAATATATGTATAATACTTTCACATACAACTTAAGTCATAATTACATAAATTTACGATATATTTGTGATATTTATTTAGATATGCAAGGATAATATTAATAATTATTTTTGTTAACACTTACCTTTCTATACCAAATTTCTGCTTCCTGTTTGCGATCCATTAGTCTTAATGCTGTTGCTGCGGCTACCACTAGAGAGTAGTCTTGAGGTGCTAGCTCAGCTGCTTTTACTCTATATGTAATAGCTTCAGCTAAGCGAGTTTGTGTTGTTAAGAATTCAGCTAAAATAACATCAATAAAGACAGAAGTGCAATCGTGTTAATATTTCATAATAGTTCCTTGTTTTAACTAAAATTTCAAAGAAAAAAATATTTCATAATAGCACTTACCGTAATGATGATAAACGCTGGCTTCTTCAGGTGCCAATTGCAAAGCGCGCTTAAACCACATTTCAGCTTCTGAGACTCTACTGCTCTGTAAAAAGCGATTTTATTTTTATCTAATCAAAAAATTTTACTCCATCAACATACATTTCTTGCCAAGGTTACGCCATAAGAGAGATGTGCGGCCACCTGATTTGGTTGCAACTCTAAAGCTGCTCTATGATGTCTTTCAGCCTCATCCCACTGTTGTAAGCGACCAAAAATATCTCCTATACGATGATAGATCACATCTCGTTTGTAGTAGTGATGTGGAAGTTCATGCAAAGCTTCACGATAAACGGCTAAAGCACGTTGTAATTTGCCCTGTTCGACATAAAGTGCTCCCAATTGCAGGTACGATGAAATTCTGGCGTTTTCATGAGCCGAACGGTCTCGCACACCAGTACCATCAACTTTGGAGCCCTCTTGTAAGATTTGAGCGGCATCCTGACATTTGCCCAAAGCTATTAGTGAAATACCCAAATTTAAGTAGGCCACTATAAAAACATTACAATATTATTCCATTAATTCCTGTGACTAGTTTGTGGAAATAGACATGAAAGTGGAGCCTTTTTTATACTATACTTTTTTATACTACTCACCCGCTAAATTAGGTCGAAAATTCAAGGCGTTCTTAAAACTTTTAACGGCATTTTTATAATTTTGTTGATTTTGATATAAAATTCCTCTGCAATAAAAAACAAATAATACATTAACACTCATCATAAACGCTGCTAGAGAAAAAAAACTTTCATTTTTTAAGCAAACAAATCGTGTTCATGTTTTTCTCTTCCTCTTTTAAACTATATTTTTGTGGTTTTTGTTCCATAATTGTTAAATCAAACAGTCCATCAACTTGTTGTAGTTTTTGTATTCAAACAATCACCAATGTAGAAAAGAGAAATACTCATTTAACAAAAATACAAATAAAAGTAAAATTCAAGGTCTTTGATTTTATACTAATTGCAATTTTTTTAGAAAAAGCTTGGAAATGAATAAGAAATGAAATACTGAGTAGGCAAATAAATTTTTTGAATAAATAGAGAAGAAAGTTAATAAAAAAAGAAATTGTAGTTGTGAGAAAAATATGAGAGTTTTATGTCAATTTTGTTTTTTTCATTCTAATTTTTTTCGTTAATCGAAAAAAATCTACTTTGTTGGCATTTTCTGTTTGCCTTTGTTGAGTAGTAGACAGAAAATTTTAATAAATTTGAAACTTCAAGTTGTCTGTTTGAAGTTTTTAAACTTCTTCGTTTACATTTTAAACTTACGTGGATGTTGTAGTTTTGCATAAATCACGACATTTTGTTTAGATTTTTTTTAGATTTGATAAAATTTTTGTAGGAAATATTTTGCTTAAACACATGCAGTGAAAATCCGAGAAATGAAGTTCAAGTACATGAAGTAATGAATATTTATACCCTACATCACTTAGTGGGGAGGTATATTAGATTTGTGCTGATGTTTGTAACGCACAAAAATATTGAACCTATACCCACCTTAAAGCATACCAATCAGCTTAGAATCGTTTTCTGAGTCGATTTCAAGATAATTGGATGAACAGAACCCCTGAAAAGTGATTCTGAGCTGATTATTTTAAGTAAATTTTTTTTCTCGATAAGTTTTATATAAGTCTTGATGACTTGGCCAAATTTCGTACAGATCGGGCTTCATTTGACCCTAGCTCCCATAAAAAGTCCCCTTCAGAAAATGACTTCAAAATTCACTTATAAACACTAATATCGAAGTGATGAAATTCTGCATAAATAAATATTATAAATATTTAAATCTATACACGAAATTTTATCGGGATCGGTCCATATTTGCCTCTAGCCTCCATATAAAGTCTTTTTCAGAAATTTTGTTTTTCGTTTATAAATTGCTTAAATACTTATATTGGAAACAAAGTACTATTCAAGATAAATGCAATTAATGATAAATAATATTATAAAAAATAAATCACATTTAATATTCATAACTGTGTAGGGTATCATATGGTCGGTCACGACCGACTATACTTTCTTATTAGTTTTGTTTCCTTTATATTTATTCTCCTATAGAAATACCTTTTCAGAAAATTACTCTGGTGGTCATAAATCTCGTATTAGTATCGATATTGTGTTGAATTTTGAACTAAATAAGTTTCATAAGAACATTAACCGATTAAATTATGTGCGGATAAAATAATTTGGGACTTATTTCGAATTTCAGTACGAAACATATTAATACATACAAATGAATGTTTACATTCAAATACAATTCGGTATAAATCCAGTATGTACATATATTCAGAATTCTGAAAGGAAAGCAAATCCCAATATATTTAACATGTGTATTTTAAAGCCGATTATTTTATTTTCAAAGTTAAGTTCATTTATCTTTCGCCTTAGTTTTTGAATGTTAAGAATGGTTATTAGTTGCAGAAAATCATTTGTATCAGTGCAATATTGCAGCTAGAATCGCTGCCCATTTTAAACCATTAAATCCGATTTAAAAAGATTCCATTCCCCATTGTCTTGTTAACAGTTTTTGTTAATTTCTACTATAGTATTTTACCAGTTCTTTGGTGTATTTTGTGTATTCAACCAATTTTGCATTGTTGCTTTTGTTGTGTGTGTAAAAGTGAACTCATTCATTTTTGTATTGTATTTTGACATAAATGGGCTTTTAGTCCATTTTCATGGAAATCATTTTGGTGCTGCAGTCGTTTTCTTTTGTATGTTTGTTTGCGAGAGTTTTATTTTATATTTTTTGTCGTTTTTGTTCTTTTTGACAAATTTGTAGGAAAATCCGTTCATTCATTCACTCACTTTTATACGTTTTAGTATTTTATGTTTTCGTTGGTGTTGTTGCTTTTCTATATACATATGTATTTATGTACATATATACATATGTACATATATATGTATTTAGATGTAGTAGTTTTTGTTGTTCTTATTTCTTTTTAAAATTTCATTCAATTGACGGAAATGCTTATGTGAGCAACAAAACAAGTAAAACTTCTCACAAAGTACACAATCTAAACGAACATGCACCACACATTCTCTCACACATTGACTCACAAACAAACACATTCAGCTTTAAATGCACATAATAGTCTGGTTACGTTTACGTACGAGTATTTCGTATGATATTGTATTAGTAATAAAAAACAAAAGGCCTTCAGTATATAGGCCTTTCTGACAACCTTCTAAAATCTTGCTATAGAGTTTAATTTTTATTCTAACCAAAATACCTTCTGAAATGAATCCGCTCTACTTTCAAAAGGATCCTCAAATTTCCCATTTATTTTGATATAAATAGTTAGGTTTTCTAAAATAAAATTTAGTTTCATACTATAATTTCGGAGTCGTAGTCTTACTGAAAAGGCCTTGTAGAAAGTTACTTTGCTCCTTATTTTTACCATTGGGAATAAAGGAGAATAAACATACATACATAGATATAAAATTGTGTAAGTGTGCGTGTGTTGGAAAATTGTGTGCTATGTGTGAGTATTTGTTTGAGTGTGTATGTATTTATGTGCATTTTATCTTGAAAATGACATTAAGTCTTTTACTTTTCTCGAATTTTCCATGTTTTGCATTTGTTTGCCATTTCATTCATTTAATCTTTTCAACTAACACATGAAAGCAATCCAAAAAGTATAGTTTTTAATGAAATCTAATAAGTTTTTAACAAAAAAATGCCTGTAAGTAAATTATCAAATGGAAAATTTCTATACTCACCACCAAAGAAACGATTTTTAAATACATATATTCTAATCAATTATAAAATTTTACGACGATCTAGCCATATCCGGCAGTATTTCTGTTTTAAACTTTATCGAACCTATTTTAACCAGGGACCGAAAATAATTGTTACTTTTTTCTTTCGAAAGAAAAGGTTACGCAAAAAATCCCTTTATTTTATTTAGGGACTTTTTAACCATTATTATAAGATTTATATTATTTAGGTCTCCGTAACCAATTAACATGAGAAATATATTTTTTGGTTTTGAAGAACCGTTATTTAGCAACCAATATTTTTTTGGTAATCGATAACCAAAATTTATTTAATTTATTTTTGGTCCATATAAATATTAACGAAATTAAAAGGCAAATTAATTTAAATTATATTTTATTTATAAAATGAATAGACATTTGTTGCAAAACTGGCCGGTTCATTTACTTTGCCAAAGATATTTGAAAAAAATATAACCAATAAAATTTTTTTGGTTACGATATATATTTTTCTCTGGTATTGGTTACGACGACCAAAATCAAATATATCTTATAATAATGGTTAATTATAACACTTATTTTAAATCCGTTACTATTATTTGTTAAGTGAGACCTTTTCGTCATATTTCTTATAAACGTTACGTCCCTGATTTTAACAGTATGTATTAAAAACATATGCTTGTATTTTTAACAGTAGGTATTGATAAAGCTTGAAAATCTGCATGCTTCAATTATGTACTTACATATGTATATTGAAAGTTCTTTTAAAACTATTGTCGTATGTATTTAGTTTTTGTGGATTTGAAATTCTCCTACATTTGTTGATTTCGATGGCTTTTTATTGCTGCATCGTGTGCTGGCTGGATGGTTTGTCGGTTAAAAAAGTTAAAAAGAAACTCTGAAAAACTCAAAGTCAATGAAAATGACAATCAGGTCTGTTAAATTCAAAAAAAAAAAAAAAAAAAAAAAAACATCTAAAAATTTGTACAATTCATTTCTGATATGAATGATGTCTTTCGGCATGTCAAAGGATTCTATAAGTTATTTCTCTGAAATTTATTTTGTTTTTCTTTTGCATGTCGACTATTTTTTGGAAATCATTTCTATGGATTATGCTTTGGTAAATGTGTTTGCAAATATTTTATTATTGTTTTTGTATTGTTTGAACAACAGGTTTAAAATTAAAACAAGTAAGAATGTACAGTCGGGCATGACCGACTGTATGATAATCTATACCAGTGCGTAAGTTAAAAATGTGGATTATTTTTTAATAATAAAGCATTTAGATTTTTTGCCTTAACTCCGAAATATTTAACAACTTATTGACAAAAAAGAGATTTTCCAAAAGAGGAGTTATGTGAGGTCAAGGGTAAATGGCCCCATCCTTATATATTTTGGTGGAGGGATTTACGTTTACATTAACGTTATTTATGCAGAATTTCATCGTGATACTAGTGTTTATACGTGAATTTTGACCATCATGTGATTTTCCGAAGGGGACTTTGTATGGGGTCTAGGGTCAAATATTGACTGATCATTATGAAAATCGGTAGTATAATTTAGTGGTATGTATATAAAATCACGTTACGCCGACTTTTGTAGAGATACCAGAACATTTAACATAATTATGAGCTCAAAATAGGTGCTCGGCTATATAATGGACCGATTTTAACCATTTGCAATGGGCTTCGATCCTGGTATAATGTTTATACCAATTATAATGTTTATACCAAGACTTCAGAAACAATTTAATTTTTTCTAGAACGGTTTCATACATAAAAACTTCAGGTTCTTGAATGCCAATTTTGGAAATAATAATATCGCATTTACTTCTACAAACTGTTTTGTGGAATATTAGAATTTTTAGAATTGAACTGAATCCAACTATAATTTTTTTGTTATAAGAAGAAAAATATAGAAATAAAGCAATAAAATTAATATTTACAAGGTGTAATGAAATTTTTAAAAT